TATGGGCTAGAATGTTAACAGACACACAGAACCATTTTGCGACACTTGGTAATTTAGACTCAGAGGACCTCAAAACATGTATTTCCGTTGAAAACTGAGATTAGAAAATTTTCACGATCACAATACTTACCCTTACTATATATTACATATATACGTAAGTGAAAGTAAAAAAGAGTATTATGGTCAGTTGTTACGGCTTAGAAAGGTACTCTGACCCTTTCCATTACACACGTAACCCTTTCCGATTCAATTTAAATGATTTGGATACCTTCCTGCATGTAAAATATATTTGGCAGTTTAGTACACATGAGTTTTTTTTTTTTAGCTTATTTATTGAAAAATATTAAAATCTGTCTCAAGGACATTTATAATACTGTACACAGATCACATTAACACTCTATGTACAATAAATAAAATAAATTATACAGAAAAATAATATATATATATATACAATAAATAAGAATAAAATGACCTAAAAATAAATGAATAAAAAGAACACATACATACCTATATACAATATTTACAATCTGGCGAGAAAACTCCTAACCAGACTTGTCCCTCCAACTGTGGAGGGAAAAGCATGACTCCAGGAGATCCCTGCACTTCTCTCTCAACCGCGTTACTGGGGCTAAACCAAGTGGAGATTAAGCAAGAGTGCTTAAGCCAAATACACTCATGTCGTGAGTGGAGAATCTGACCATTGCCAGAACTCCAATATTTACTAACTATAAAAGGTCGCGTGGCCAGGGAGAGATGTCTTTGAAGGTTTAAGGATACTGTATCAGGATCTGAGTCGGATGATAGAATGGCTGTGTCATCAGCAAAAGTTGCCAGGAAGGTAGTAGTAGTAATAGTAGACTGTTTCCATAAAAGAGGAAAGTGGGTGATTCGTAGGATGCTATTGTATATGTATGTAAGGAATATGTCAGCTTTAGGAGGGAGTTGCCTAAGGATCTGAGAGGTAAGGAGGTCGTATCCAGGTGATTTGCGGGTAGATAGTTTTCGTAAGTGGAATTTGACCTCAGACGTATTAACTGCTTTAGGTGGTAAGAGCAGTGGGAGAGGTGAATTAAGGAATTCCTCTACTGCTGAGGTGTGAGTGGGATTGGATTCCGGATGAGAGGTGAATGTAAGGGAAAGGTGTTTGGCGAATTCCTCGGCTCTATCTTGGTCAGACGATGCCCAAGAGCCATCAACTCGACGTAGAGGATGTGATATATGATGGGGTTTTAGGATTTGTTTAGTGATCTTCCATAGGGAATTGTCATGAGAAGAGAGGGAAGTAAGGAGTGGAGTTGAAGGATTGGGATCTGAAGGTGGCCAATTCTAGCTTTAATGTTTTGCAAAAATAATTATAGGATTGACGATCGGTGGGGTGTCTCGTACGTTGCCATAATAATCTGGCACGGCGTTTGATATGGATTAGGTCTATGAGGTGTTGAGGTAACTTATTTTTCTTGAGAGTTTTTGAGGAGTGGTTTGGAGAGGAAGCAGTCCAGATTGCTTGTTGGATAGTGGTGGTAAAAAATTGTACGGCATTGTCAAGGTCATCTGGGGTTTTCAGGGTTATTCTGAGGTCAATTTTATCGGAAAGGATTTAGTGAAAGAGTTTCCAATTAACTGGGCCTCTGATGAAGGACGGTGGAGAAGACTTAGGAATAGGAGCTAGAGATAATTGGAGTAATAATGGACTATGATCTGAGGATAGTTCGGTAAGACGGGTAAGGAAATAATTGAGGGAACCTAAGCCACTGTGGATGAAAAAATCAAGGATATCGGGATTGCGGTTAGGATCTGTGGGCCATTAGGTAGGTGAGTTAGGAGGAAGGATACTGAAACGTTGGGAACTGAGTGCAGATAACAATGTTCTGCCACGAGAGTTCGTGGTTCTAGAACCCCATTGTTGGTGTTCGGCGTTTGAATCTCCACCCAGGATGAAATGATGTCCTAAGGAGTTGAGAAGATAACTGAAGTGGATATTGGATATGGATCTGTTTGGAGGGCAATATGCTGATGCTATGGTGACGGGAAATGAGAAGGTTTTGATTAAGATATTGGTAGATTGTAGGAAATCTTGTGTCGGTAATGGGAGCTGGTGATGAGAAAGGGAGTGGTGTACAATAACAGCAGTACCGGCATGGTTATTACCGTCAGGATGGTCAGTTCGGTATGTTATGTATTGAAATCCTGTTAAGTGGTCAGTCGTGTTTCCGTAATTAGTGCTACGTCGATGTTCTTGTCCAGTAATAAAGCTGTTAGTTCGTCAACGTAATTTCAAAACACCATTCGCATTCCAAAGTAGAATGGATATGTGTTTTGGGATGTGAGTCATTAAGGATTTTTTAAAGGAGGGATGAGGTGAGATACCAGATTTGTGAGGAGTGATATGAGTGGAGTAACTAAGGATTTAAAATCGGTAAGAAAAGATGTCAATAAACTGGTGAGATCTGTTGCATTTGAAGGAGGAGGGATATGATGAATTTGTTGTTGATGGTTAGGTATATTCGATCAATAGAATTTTGAGGTTGGGGTTGAGGTTGTTGTTGCAGCAGGCTTGACAGTTATCGGTTGAGCTCTTACCTCTAAGTAGCTGGGAAAATGATACACTATTGTTTACTATTCTAGAAGGCTCTCTCTCTCTCTCTCTTCTTGGTCTTCCTGCTTCATCTTGAATCCGGTTTTTCTGGTGTCTGGATTTGAGATTCTTGTAAATTTGGCATCCTTTGGCCGGGTGTTCCTCCAGGCATAGTGCACACACTGCAGGATCTTGTATCGGTTTTGGTGCACTCCACTGATTTGTGCTGTTCACTCGCATTTCACGCAACGCGGCAGATGGTGACAATAAGTCTTCGTGCGGCCATACGCCTGACAATTATGGCACTGCACGATTTCTCTCTTGGGGCATGGTTTCGCTACTTTCCCCATTGTGTAATATAATCTTGTGATATCGTATATTTTCTCAATACCGGGTGATGGCTCTAGATCCACGAAAAATAAAGGTAGTGGAACTTTATTTTTTACTCCAGACTGCTCCTTATTCTCCTTCAGAACGTTGGTTACCTGACGTACTTTGAAACCAAGCGCCGCTAGTTCTTCTTTTATCACTTCAGTTGGGGTTGAGGAGTGTAAATTTCTTATTACGACTCGTAACGATCTCTCCTGCCTAAGCTGGTACGTATGAAAATTCGCATTCGTTTCTGAGAGTTACTTCAATATTATTCGGTAGGTTTCAGCAGTGTCTGGTGTTATTTTTGTATCGTTGGTCCTGTTAAGACATGAATAACTGCCAGAGCAGATTTTATTTAGTTGGGTGTAAAACAAATGGAAATTGATGATATTTTTCACATATATCGTAGGAGGCCTTGGTTCTGTGGGTATAGCTGCAGACTCCAACTCATGAGTTAGTGTTCTTTATTGGATCATTACCATCCATCTTCGTTGTATTCAGAAGTTTTATAGAAGCCTCAAATAAAATGTTAACTTTAGTTTTTAATAAGTTTTGGTGTGGCTGGAATTTTTATTTTCGATTTTTTTCCCAGTAATTTCGCAACTAGAACTTTTTTCCTTGCAAATTTGCAATTAAAGGTTTTCCAGAACTTTTATTCAAGAGCTCTGTTGATTTCGCCAAAAAAGACTATCTTAAAAATGATGAGTTACTCAAACGACACATTAAAATTATGTGTAATTCATTTAAGACAAATCTACGCCCAATTACTGTTTAGTTCTCATTTAACATATCTTTTTTGAAGAACTTAAATAAATAATGTTAAACTTTTACCATAAATCTGGAACTTTATTATAGAAATGTTTCTTGGAACTTTTTTTCCTAAAACGTTTTATCGAAACTGTTAAAATGTAACTTTTTTAAAAAAATTCATAAAAGATTCGATCAGTTTTATGAAGCTATTAGATAATGAAAATAAAATAAGCTTTATCTTATGATAATTGAAAGTCAATTTTAGAATAATATTCATAGATATCTTCTTATCTATCATTGATTATATGTTTTGTTTTTTAATGTAGAAAAGAGAAAATTAAGCATGAAAAGGACAAATTAGATGAGATAATACTGCTTTTGGATAACATAAGAAGAAAAATAAAGGAGATAGAAGCCCACATTAATAAAAGCGTGATACC